ATGCCTAGTATGTCCTACTCCTACCTAGGACCATGCTGGGACCGTGGTAGGACATGTAGGAGGACCTACCTAGCCCCTGTGGTATGCATGGCACGGACCTACCTAACTGTACATCATGTACACGTACCTCAACTTGCTCAAGCTGTTCACAATCACAGCTTCAAATCGTCCGCCATGTCATAATAATTTATTTGATGACACTAAAAAGAGGGCGCCCTTGAACAAAGTGGGTGGTTTTAAAAAATAATGGTTCACATTTTTTTTCGCTTCGGTTCGTGCGCAGTTGGATGAGGCAATGATGATTGTTTGAAAAAAATAATACTCACATTAGTTTCTTCAAATGCTCGTTCTCTTTACTGCTACAACTAATTAACTTGCTCAAACTAATTAAGACCACACAGAAAGAATACTCTCAACCTCACGTTCATTAATTACATATGCATGTAGCTATATATGCCGGGAGTTCATTTGAACATGTAAATTGTTGAGCGCCCCCCCCCACTGCTGCAGTAGGGGGGACACTCTACTGCGGTTGACTGATTTTTTACAATACATGTCGACTGAGGCTAAAGGCGACTCAATGTCACAAATTATTTTCACACTATCTCAGATTGCAGCTACTAGTAGGAGAAATGTGTGAACTTGCAAAATTTGGATACTGAAAAGTCCTCCGGCCGGGATGAGAGAAAAGGCCACGCCTTCCGATTTTTTCACGTCAAATTTCAAATTACCGCCCAAAAAGCTCAGATCTACGGTAAAGTAGTGGTCTTAATGTCCCAAATACTTCGCTTTACCGAACCTGTTATTTTCTGAGGTCAATGTACTTTTATGCTGATTGTCCACCACAGGTCTGTTCTGCAAGGGGGACAGCAGTGAAGAGTGAAGACATATGAACTAGAGAGACTGACAAACTATGCAGGACTTCAGGATTGTACATAGCTACATAGTACTTCCAAACTCATGTATCTTCCAACAGGTTAAAAACCCTTCATGAATATTTAAACAAATAAATTTGACTATGAGCCCTACGTGTTAAAGAGAATTCTTATCACGTCAACAATGTAAGAAAATACTTGTACGCCTATAGTTCAATTTGGGCTCTATTATCAATTTCATAACAGGTACATCTCCTTGAATGACAAGTCAGGAAACTCAAAGTCTTGTCAATGTACATCAACAATAACAATCAACTTGGCTGTGTGAACAAAGAAATATTTTTACACTCGAGATTAACTCAGCCCACATTTGCTGGAGAACAAAGTTTACTCCGTACATCCACCAAAATTTTAAAGGTTACTTGCAACTCCGTCATATAAAAATAACCTATTCAGT